GACATTGCCACATAGCACGAATGAAGTTTGCTTTTCCACAAGTTGAACGATCGCTTCTGATATGTCATCAGTGCGGAGCTGGATTGTGGGTGTCTCATTTTCACACAGTAGCATACTTAAGTAGCTATTGTTAGAATTAGGGGGAAAACATTTTTAAAAATAAAAATGCAGTTTTATAGATGCATCAAATATATTCCCCTCCTTGACCAAGAAATAAAACAGTGGCTAGGAATTTCATAGCAAAGTGAAAGACTAGTAATTTAAAGTGCTGCACTCTTTAGTTTCAAACTACCAAACTAAAATTAATATACAACTATGAGATACCAACAATGACAATTGTTTTAACTTCCTTTTAAAAAAAAGGTCATGGCAGACCTTCAAGCATTTTTAAAAATAGCCGAACATTCCCAAATCACCCTGTTGTCACCAATTTTTTTTTTTTTTAAAGGGGGGGAAATTTCTCTCTTTCGTATACGCTAGCTTCCGAGATATCTCTCACAGCTGCAGCCTCCAGTGTTTATGATCACGAATTTCTAAAAATAATCATTATATAAGAAAATAGTTTTAAGCCTAAGCTTGGAATTTCAATCCCAGTGGGGCATCAAAGAAAATCACTAAAACAAATCTGCTGGCAACGTTTAAACAGTCAAAACATAACATTACCAATAAAATGTCTCAATCGTAACGTGCGACAAAACCCATGGGAGGACATTGCCACATAGCACGAATGAAGTTTGCTTTTCCACAAGTTGAACGATCGCTTCTGATATATCATCAGTGCGGAGCTGGATTGTGGGTGCAACAGTTCCACATGGTAGCATATTGTTAGAATTAGGGGGAAAATTTTTGTTTTTAATTAAAATGTACTTTTATAGATGCATCAAATATATTCCCCTCCTTGACCAAGAAATGAGAAGGTGACCAGGAACTACATAGCAAAGTGAAAGACTAGTAAGTGCAGCACTCTTTAGTTTTCAACTAAATTAATATAACCAACAACTGTGAGATACCAACCATGACTTCAATTGTTTTAACTTCCTTTTAAAAAAAAAATGTCAAGGTAGGCCTTCAAGCATTTTTTTTCAATAGCTGAACATTCCCGAATCACCCTGTTGTCACCAATTTTTTTTTTAAAAGTGGAATTTCACTCACTTTCGTAGACGCTAGCTTCAGAGATATCTCTCACAGCTGCAGCCTCCACAATGTTTCTGATCACAAATTTCTTGATGGCCTTGTCCTTGGGACAGCAGCGGGCACAGTTGGTGCAACGCACATACTTGACGTGGCCACGGCCCTTCTTATTACGTCCGTTATTCCGGCGTTTGACAGTCTGTGAAAAAATATATAAATTACCGTTAACCTTTCACAAAGCAGTTTTGTCATGAATGAGAATACATTGGATGACTTAGGTACAAAGTCAGGAGTGTGCGCAAAGGGAGATTTAGGCAGGAAAAAAAAGTCTATTATTACACTTGGCCTCATCGCATATTAGTCTAATAATTCGTAAAATAAAAAAGTGGGGTTTCAGAGAAAAAAGTTGCCCTGAAGTAATAAAAGCTGATGTTTCGGGATTTGGCACTCTTTGGGAGGAGTAGTTTCGGCCGTAGAACAATTTGCATTATATTTTTGAAAATATATGCATCTAACTATGGCCTATCCCCGCATTGGACAAGTGTCTCGTTATTTCAGGACTCGTTATAAGAAGACTCCACCGTAGTGAAATTAGCAGGAAAATGACCGCTTAAGTTTGATAACTCGAACAGCTAAAGAGAAAGAGTTAGGAAGTCCTTGAAAACTGAAAAAACGATATATTTTGTGCCTTTCATCAAAGCTTTCAGTAAAATTCACATGGAATTGTTTTTGAATGAGATCATAGCAATGCCAATCGGGCTTTCCCGCGAGGCGAAAATTTGGTCCCCGTTTACGGGCGATTTTGCGGACCCGGCCGAAGCGTAGGTGACTAACTTTGTCAACCTCGGTCTGCTCTATTTCCGAACCAATCCGAATGAAACTCGGCAACCAATCAGAAAATAGGGCAAACTAATGATATGTGGACGTTGAAGTTCGTACACATAAATTAACCTATACTTTTGGTGTCGGGAACACTTTCGTATCGTGTACACCGAAAACTATAAGGAGTTTGAATTTCAACACCCAGATGGTAATAGATCTATCTATCCTCTATAGTGTGCTCAAATTTGAGAGTTCTGTGTCAAGTAGTTGTTTAGACCCGATCGTAAATCTACGACTACCCCCCTATCCAAAGCGGCTTCGCACGGAGACCGGCCATTTTCCCTTCACTCTCGTGGCAAATGTATGTGACCTACAAATCCCCGCATGACTATTCCGGGCCCGTTCATTGGTCACTTGAAATAGGGCAATGGCGGGCGGGCGCATCCGGTTGTTTTTCTCTCTATTCCCCTGTAACATCGCAATGGGGGTATTCCGAGGCGAGGTTATCTCGTCTCGGGGTGTTCGCGTCTCAACGGGGAAAAAGAAAGTTTAATTGTACGGCATGCTAGATTGAATTAACTTATCTTTTACGGTTGGCATGGTCTAAAGTCATCATAAAAAGCTTTGCAATTATGTAGTCACGCTGCCGACATATATTCTTAAAGATCCCATGCTGTGATACGATGCTATAAATAAAATGGACTCATCCCGACACCCCTTTTTCGCAAAATCGTAATATGTACACCACAATTTTAATTATAACAAAATAACTACGAAATTGGTAGTAAATCTGACTGCAGAAATGATTTCTACACTCAAAAACACATTGGGTAGCCCAGTTTCTCTCGAACACTCGGATTAGTTACCGAGATATCGTCGATTTTCATACAGAATCTGCTACTGCGTGGTCCACGTTTTAGGAGTATTTTCCTATATGTGGGTCATCCATATTTTGCCGACCTTTACAACCCCATAACTTTTTTATTTATGAACCGATTCTCAAAATTCAAGAAGCATAATTATTAGAATTGAAAATTCTTTCTTAGGTACCAAAAAAGGGGGGCAAAAGTGAAAATTTAAATTTTCATTGGCATTGCTAGAGAACATAAAGTGGTTTGAGATCCCAAAAAAAATCGATAAAAATCGCCTGGTGCCAATCGCCTAACACGCGCAAAAATGCCTGCTTCTCCAATTTTGCTATTTTGATGAGCGCCACATGCCCTTCCAGACAGAACGTCAACATGGCTTTTGCGTATTCGTTACTCGTCCGCATTTCCGGTGAAATGCCAAACCGCGAGTTTAGTTACATTTTCACTTTTGCAGCCGTGTGTTTACTTTTGCTTAGACAACAGGAGCATCACAGTCACCTCCGCCAACTCCTTTGTTGACGTACATCATGGCGCACAGCCAAAGATGTAAGATTGTGGTTTATTTAACATTATTTTTACAAGGGGAACACGAGTCAAAGCCTTCTTTATGCGTGTAGGCCATCTTGAGGGAGGCATTGCGTTGTCAAGAGCGACATGCTCGCAGCTAAAGGGATTTGAAAACTAAAAACAACATGCATGTAGGCCATCTAAATCTAGAATCTAGATAAGACCTGAAATCTTGGCATTCCCTCGAAACCGGGGCTTTGTTACTGTGCATCACAGCGAGGCAGCGAAGACTGATGAGACTCACGCACTAGGCTAGATCTAGCCTAGTTACCCTTGTAGCGAAAGACACGCTGTCTGTCCATCTGCCTCTCTTTCCCTCTCTCCCAAGGTTTGGTAACAAACGAAAGTCCCCATTTGGTATTTTTGTAACATGTATTACTACATGTACTAAATTCTTCTTCCTCTTCTTCTTGTTCTCCTCCTCCTCTTTCTCCTGCTTCTTCTATGAGCGCTTCAAACCCACTGTGAGAAGATGGTCAGAGGCGTGAGACACTGCGATGCCTCACATAGACATGTTTACACCGCCACCGGGACAAAGTCACAGGTCAGTGAGGACAGCATATTTTCGATCTGGACTTCAACCTTTCCGGCAACGTATCTAGATATATTAGATCTAAAAGTCTAGATCTAGATCTAGATCTAGATTTAGATTTAGGCCTACTGCTCGGAACAGGCTGAGGTGATTAACTACACAGCAAGAATGAATTAGAGCACATGTCATCCCACAAGAAACATTTGCCACTCTTGAACAAGAAGATGGTGATACCATCTGGCTTTTTTCCATATCCCCCCCCCCCCGTCAGTCAAGTCTGAAAGGTTGAATGATGGGCGCTTTTTCGGTAGTTCCCACCCGCATTTGTTATTCGCCGGTTTTGGCCCCAAGAGTAGGGGGGTTTCAGGGTGGCTTGCCCCCCTGACCGAATAAAAACAAGGTGGGGGGTTTCAGGGGGGCATGCCCCCCTGAATTTTACCACAATTTAATGTTTTGCAGTTGTTAGGTTTGACATCTTAGCTTGCCGCGAATCAAACGTATATAGATCTAGATGTAGGTCAGGCTCTATCAAATAAGGGGGGTGGGAACTACCGAAAAAGCGCCGAATGATGCACGTTTGAAGTTTTGTAAACAAGGAACAATAAATTTGAGACAACCGAGTGGTCACTGGGTGTGTAGATCTCTAGATCTAATGCACCCAAAAATATATGTCTGCCCACAAAAAAATTGCATCTGCGGATGTGGGCCAGAGTGAAGAGAAAGTAGTACAGTTGTCTTAGTAGAGTCACGGATTGTCTTAGTCTTAGTCATCTAATCTAAATTGACAGAAAAAAATGGTGAACAAAGAAAGAAGGGGCAGATTCCAACAAATAAGCAACCAGCTCAGTGGAATTGATAGTAATAAAGACATTTAAAACGTGATTCAGTTTGCAACAAAACCATTGCCCTTTATGCTTGGTATGTTGATTCGTGGTGACAAAAGAGAAACTTGGAATTTGCTAAATGCTCTCCCCACGTTGCCTGGGCGTCCCACAACACCGACAGGCTGAGTGGACTGAACATAATTCCAATTTGATTACAAAACGAAATTAAACGTCAAACGTGATAATATATAAATGCATACCAAACAAAACTTAACTTTTAAATCCTATATTTACACTCTAAATATAATTCAGAGCAAAGAAATCATACTTTTTTCGTAAAAATCAGAGAGAGAAATCGCACGCGGACTTACCATGATGGCGACTGTGCGGAAAAGGAAGACAGGAAGTGGAAGTGGAGCAGTTGTGGGCTTTTCGAATCGATTCCTTTGTTGAAAAAAATCGCCAGCAGTTTATCAGAGTCGAATATGTTTCGATGGTTTATTATTATTATATTACGACCCTGACATTATTTCTGAGCTTGGTGTTTTGAGTAGCTTCCAGGACAGGTTAGATTTTTTAGATGGCACTAGGAACTAAAAATTTTTGTTTCGAAAAATAATTGACATAAAAGTATATCGTATCGTGGTGAGATCGAGTCCAGGAGAAGGTATCGAGTTTCTGTACAATCGTTTAAAATTTTAGATTCGTAAAACAAAACGAAACAAGCCAAGCCGAATATAAAATTTAGAAATGAGGGCCCAAAGTAAACAAAAAAAATCGGGAAGGGAGGGGATCAAGGACTAGATTTTGGTTTTAGTCGGTGTTGTACAGGGGTTTTTTCCCCAAAACTAATTTATTTTTGTTAATTTTTGCGAAATAAAAAAATTACAATATTTTTAAATATCATAGGCTGCAAAAAGTTAAAAGTGCACAAAGGTTCGTCAGCCTTGCAAAATACTTGAATTGTTAAATGAAAAAACGAATTTTATGACATAAGATTTAAAAAATCTCATATCAACCGTTCTGAAGTCGGCAACTCCCAAAAATCCCCTTCCCATGCTGGGGTTAAGCTCTAGATTTGCTAATGTTAAAAACTGATCCATGTATAATTTCCAGTTTGACTTGTTTACACATGTAAGTAACATAAGAAAATCAACGTTCCGTTTTAATCATGTACACGTCAACTTTGCTGCTTGCTCTAAGCAAACCAGTAAAGATCGACTTGTAAGTTGTTGCAAGGGCGTAGGCTTCTACTTATTGTTTCAAACTCTATAGGCAATATTACCCTGCTCCAAGCCATGATGCACACGTGTGTACCGGTACCTCACTTTTCTAATTCTTTGCTCTGGCCGGGTTGTTTTGGCCCCTGTTTAATTTTCAACAACAATTATTACGTCACTGGTGAATAAAGCCATAGAAAGACTTGCCACTCCCACCTGATTTTTATTGGTGCTGTCGGTTCCAGCTAGTCCGTTTGACGTTTGGCTGCCTACCGTGATAACCCGCTCTCTGCCCAAGTCCCGCCAGACAGATCACGATCTATCTGTGATGTGTCAATAAATTGGACGAAGAGCCATCGGACCAGCCAGACAAAGTTTGAATAACTAGATCTATTGTTCCACTCGTGGGGACGACAGGGGTATGCATAAGGTCAGGGTCAGAGTTAACGTTATACGGGGAGCCCACTACGGCTGGAACAGGCCGATCGCCCCACTCGGTCGCCTGGAACTGAAAACAAACACGTTTATTTTTTAGGCGACCGAGTCGG